TGTTTGATTTAATTTTTTATAAATAGCAATTATTTTTTAGGAGTTTGGGATTTGTCCGGGTTTGGCCGGCAAGTATATATATAACCCTTAACCTTAACCGCATCAAAAAGGTAACTCTAAACCTCGCTCCGCTTTAACCGACCCGATATATAGACATTCTAACACTAACTATATACCATCTGTCGCTAACGCTAAAATATTAGTATAAAAAACACTGCAATTACCAATTATAGTATAAAGTTTGCAAATTGATTGAAATTGGTTGAAATTGATTGCTTAAAACAAAAAATTTATAGAAAATGTCCGTTCATACATCATTAAAGAGAATGTGCAACAACAATTATCGTTTTCGCTTAGTGTTCGTAGATTACTCGCTGGAAAAACTGTACTATACTAGAAGAATAGTTTATCCGTACCAAAATCCCAAAAATATCTCATAAATTTTATTAAGATTCTTTATTTGAAACAAATAATACATATCCTATAATTATATAGATTTTGCAAAATTTTAAGATCACTTTCTTAATTTAATTGTTTATAAATATTTAGCAATTGTTTTTTTGAGGTTTGGGGTTTATCCAAATTTTGCAAAGAAGTATAATCGTGCAATAATATATTTTTTTTTATTTATTAATTAAGTAAATCTTTGAAGTTTATATTTTTTAGGATCGATCACGTGCTTATGTGCAGGTGCAAGTGCACCAAATTATAAAACCCCATTTCTTATACTATTTTAAGTGCTCCAAAATTCGGTTATGGATTTAGTTCTCATCTTCATGCATATGATCGAAAAGATAATTGGCTGCCAAGTCTTCATTTCGATCACAAGCAAGAAAGGCTTCGATCGCCCTGGCTCTGTCAAATCCGAGTGCTTCCAGCTAACAATTTTAGGAAAAAAAAACAAAAACAATAGTTTGTTATATTTAAATAAATATTAGAATTAAAGATATTAAAATTTTCTCGCTTACCCTATCAATAGCATCCTTCTCATCTTGTGTAATTGAAACATAATGAGGGGGTGGCAGATTACCCTCTCCGGGTTCATCCTCCTGCAAAAGACGAGTGAATGCAGGTTGATTGGCATTGATATACTAGAAAAAAAACAATTATGTTAAACAAGTCGGATAATAATTTATCAATAATTATATAAATTACAAATTGTTCTAAAACTTTAAACGAAATGATCACCTGTAACAATTGAGGATTAGTTTGTCCGATTAGTTGGAGCAAATGAGGTAAAGATGCTGGATTTTGTTGTACAAGTTGACGCAATTGTTGAAATTGAGGCTGGCTTCTTAAAAGGGCAATCTCTTCAGCATTCCCCTGTTGCGGCAGTTGTGGTTGTTGTTGTTGCTGCTGCTGCTGCTGTTGCTGCTGCTGTAATTGTTGTGCCAAAGCAGCAGCTTGAAGAAGATTTGGTGGTAGAGCTGTTTATGGGATTATTTTTATGGTAATATTTTTACGTTAAAATGATTATAATTTTTATAACGATAAAAACTGATACTCATTAAAAAAAATAAAACATCTAAACAGACCTGGTGTTGCTGTACCAGTATTTCCAGTTGTGGATGGAGCAGGCTGATTTCCCGTTAGGTCAGAGGTAACAGGTATTTGTTCTACAGACTCAGGGATACCCTGAAAACGAATATTTTTTAGCAATGTTTTATTTTATTTATTTTTTAAAACTTATTAATTAATCAATTAATTAATTAATTAATCAATTAATTAATTAATTAATTAATAATTAATAACAGCAATAGCGTACATTCATGAGATAATCAACAGCTCTATCAGGATTATTAAAACTCGCGCGCATAGCTTTCACAACTTGTTCACGTTCGAATCCCATCTCCATAATACTTTGAATAGCATTTGTATAATCAGTGCCGGTCACTAATACAGTAATATAAAAAACGTATTAAGTTATCTTTGTTAAAAAAATTACAAACTTTAGTGATGTGAATTCATACCTAGAGCGCTCTCGTTGCCAAAATGTGCTTGTATTGGTTGTGGATTGGTAGTAGCTGTATTTCCGGCATTATTTGATGTCGGGGCTGGTTCTGATTCTTGTGCAGGTGTTGTAGTTATTGGGGCAACGGGTGGTTGTATCGGCGTAGGAGGTGGAACACTTACGGTTGTGCTTGGTGGTTGATTAGTAGTAGAGGTTGATCCACTGCTTGATGTCGAAGGTACGTTTGGTTTTGCTGGCGGCTGTTTAAATTATTAATTAATTGATTATTTTTAATAAAATAGAAACACGTAAAATATTCAATCTTTTCGGCCTAATTTACATGAATTTACCTTCGAAACCATAACTACCAAAAAGTCCTTTTCCGTAATATTATATGAAGATAATGGTTTATCATCGACCAAAACCTTTCCTTTTAAGTAGAATTTCAAATTGATTATTACCTTGGAATAAACTTGAGCTTGTGAGAAAAAAAAAACCGTAATAAAAAATAAGTCTTACCTGAAAAAATAAGCTTTTGGAGTGCAACTGCATGTCCTTGACTTTCTTCAATTTTCTGCTTCAGCGTAAGGATCTAGAACGATAGAAGTCACGTATTAATAAGAAATTCTTATTTACTAATAAAGTACTTTGGACATACGGTATCCTCAGGCTCAGCTTCTAAATGAAATTGTTTATGTTGCAAAGTTTTTATTGTGATCTTCATTTTGAAAAGGAATACGGACTCGTTAAGAAGGCTGGGAATAACTCGTATAAATAGCGATTACGACTATAAAGTACGTAATCGGTGTTACAACTTTATATCGGATGATCAATCCGTTAGTCATATGACAAACTGTAATCTTTATTCACACGTATTACAGTATTAAATCAGACCTTTTATCGTTATAGCATCTTAAAACTCTAAAATGAGGATAATCATTAAAGGTGGAATCTGGAAAAACACTGAAGGTAGGTGACTAAAGTTATTGAGCCGGCGTACATGTGATAAGAAATTAGTTAATTTTTTTTTACCTGTTTTATAGACGAGATTTTAAAAGCTGCTGTTAGCAAGTATGGAAAAAATCAGTGGGCCCGCATTTCATCCTTGCTAGTTAGAAAGTCACCAAAACAATGTAAAGCAAGATGGTATGAATGGCTGGATCCTAGTATTAAAAAAGTATGTTTTAGTCTATTGATAACCATTAATTAAATTACACAATTTTATTATTAATTTTTTTTTCAAATACTTACCATTTAATTTGATAATAAAAAATTCATTCGGACTGTTATTTAGACTGAATGGTCAAAGGAAGAAGATGAAAAACTTCTTCATTTAGCAAAATTGATGCCAACGCAATGGCGAACTATCGCTCCAATTGTTGGAAGAACGCCATCTCAATGTCTTGAAAGATACCAGAGATTGCTTGATGAAGCAGAAGCTAAAGAAGGATTGGATTTGACTGGACCGGCGGGTGATACAGGTCCGAGTGCTGATGATGTTCGAAGACTTAGACCTGGAGAGATTGATCCTGATCCAGAAACAAAGCCTGCAAGGCCCGATCCTGTCGATATGGACGAAGATGGTATGGTTAATTTATTAATTCCTCATTTTTGTTATTTTTTACATTGTTTACAAAATTTACATCCCTTTCGTTTTTCTCTAAAATAAACCAGAGAAGGAAATGTTATCAGAGGCTCGTGCTAGATTGGCCAATACTCAAGGCAAAAAAGCGAAGCGAAAGGCACGTGAAAAGCAACTAGAAGAAGCTCGACGTCTAGCTTCCCTGCAAAAAAGACGTGAATTAAAAGCTGCGGGTATTGAGTAAGTTTATGTTACAAAATAAATTCATTTTATTAGTTATAATTAAATGGATAACTTTATTAATTTACCAAATTCATAGATTGAAAGTGAAAAAGAAGAAGAAGGGCATGGATTATAATGCAGACATACCATTTGAAAAAAGACCAGCATTAGGATTCTATGATACTACTGAAGAAAGAAATCGACAACCAGAGATGAGTCTCACCAACGTTCATCTTCACAAGTTAGAAGGGAAACGAAGATCAGAAATTGCAGAAGAAAAAAGAAAGAAAAAACAAAAAACCAACAAGGATGAAGCCGAGGGTGGTCTCATTAATTTTGTACCTGCAAGAAATGCGCAATTAAATAAATTAAAACAAGCAGAACAAATTAACAAACGAAGAAAATTAATTCTTCCTGCACCACAAGTTGGAGAAACCGA